CCCCGGTTAGAAACGTTTTTCACAGACATGCACTACCACTTTGAAACGTTTTTCACAGACATGCACTACCACTTTGAAACGTTTTTCACAGACACGAATCATTGAATTTGGAACCATTTTCACAGTCATGAATTATTGATTTTTTTTCTTTTTTTTTTGGGAAGGTTTTTCACAGAGTCCGACATGAATTATTGATTTTGGAACTTTTTCACAGACATGAATTAGTATACGTCAAGCTCACTGAAAAAGCGCCAGCTTCACCGACAATTTATTTCAAATTCATCCGCGAAAAAAAAGAAAAAAGAAAAAAGAAACAGAACAAATAATCGAGTTCGTTGAACTTCGTTCACTGTTTTCGACTCCCGATTTTTCACTTGCACACTGAAGCAATTACCATATGACACACTGAAAAAAAAAAACAAATAATTTACTTTTAAACATAGCCCATAATCATTTAAACAGCTGGAGCCCCAACATATCTCCTTTCCCCTGTCCTCACCCCTTTCCCCTCTTACCCCCCTCTTTAATCCATCCACCCTACGCACATCTCCGGCGCGCAATGCAAAACAGATTACGGCCGGCCCCGACATTTCTCCTTTAATTACCTTGCCAGAAATTTTATCATTTTTATCAAATTTTATGTCAATTCGATTTTTTTTATCAATTAGGTTCGAATGTCATTTGCGTTCTGACCATTAATTCAACTCCATTCAAGATTTCACATCGAAAGTCGATTTAATTAAAAACTAGCAATGTAAAGGATTACGTTTTTCCCCAAAAAAAAAAAAAAAAAAAAAAAAAGAAATCAATTAACACTACGTTATATTAAACCGGGGTTCTAGAACCATTTTAGCTAAAAATGCCTGTTTAGCTCTACCCGCAAGGAAAAGGAATAAAAATTTTACATCGAAATTCGATTTAATTAAAATTTAAAACCAGCAATGTAAAAAAAAAAAAAAAAAAAAGCAATGTAAACGATTATTACGTTTTTCTCTAACCAAAAAAAATAAAAAAATCGATTAACACTACCATATATTAAACCAGGGTTCTAGAACCATTTTAGCTAATGCCTGTTTAGCTCGACCCGCAAGGAAAAGGAATTAACATTTCACATCGAAATTCGATTTAATTAAACACTACCGGTACTAGGAATATAAAGGATTGCGTTTTTCCAGGAAAACATAAATAAATAAATAAATAAAAAATAAAAAATTTAATTCAGACTACGACATATTAAACCGGGGTTCTAGAACCAGTTTAGCTATCTCCTGTTCAGGTCGACCCGCAAGGGAAAGGAATTGGTTGAGTCCCAGGGGGGGCGGGGATCCAAGTCCCTACCGTCGTCCCCCGAACCGAACGCACGGCAAACATCACTGCATCTAGACTGAAACTTGCCCAAAGTACAGACACAATGACTTCCCGTTCTATTCGGGGGAATCCCAACTCCTTGGTCGAAACTTTGCCATCAAACTTCAGCGCTCTTTCCGAGAAACTTCAGCGCTCTTTCCGAGAAACTTCAGCGGCTCTTTCCGACAATTCCGAGAAACTTCAGCGACCATTCATTCATTCAGCGCTCTCTTTCCAAATCTTCTCTTGCAAGAGAGATTGATCGCCAGCACGTTCTATTCGAGGGACCTAAGTCCTTCGGGAATCCCGAAGGTATCCCGAAGGACTTAGACTAGGATCTAACCGCATGTACCACCATGGTACTTTTTAGACCAGGATTCAAGCTCAGGACCATAATTAGAGAGAGGACCATAATTAGAGAGAGAGAAGCATAACGGGAAATAGCGAGGGTGATGTTAAGTTATAATTGAAATAGTGGAAATAGCGGGAAAATAGCGGGAATTCAAAAAATACGTGGGCAGAGCTCAGGCGGGAAAGCGAGCGGCAGCGGAAGGTCTGCTGGTGAGAAAGGCAAGAATGGTATGGAGCCGCAACAGATCGGTGGCGAGTATCCTCTGTAACCACAGGGAGGAGGCGAAGAAAGAAAGTGCAGCCTGTACGTGTGCGGAGGATGAGCTGCCCAGAGTCGATGGGCACGTACACGCGAGGATCACGCAGGTCCTAGGAGTGGGGGAAAGAATCTGCAACGGGAAAAGCATCACAAGACCGTCCAGGAGGGTGGGAAAGGCAGAAGTCAGGGAGTCAGTATTCGCAGCGCTGAAGAAAACAATGGGAGGCGCTGGTGGGCCGTAAGGCAACGGGGTGAGTGGTTAGCCTCCTGATGAGACCGGAGCGCACCCGGTTGAAACGTAGGGGAACGCGTGCGCGGTTACTTCGAACATGTTGTACACGCTTGTTGCATTAACGGGAAATCTGTTGGTTCGCGTGTAAAGAGCAATCGGCCATTGCTTATCTTTCTTCTTCTTCTACGATCTAACCGCATGTACCACCATGGTACTTTTTCGACCAGGATTCCAGCTCAGGACCATAATTAGAGAGAGGACCATAATTAGAGAGAGAGGACCATAATTAGAGAGAGGTGCATGTAATCTAACCGCGGTTCGACTCGAGTCGAAAGCCGTAAATCTAACCATTGGTCTAAAAAGAGGGGAACAGAATCTAACCACGTGTACGGTGTACCACCATGGTACTTTCTGAACCAGGCCGGGTGAGTCAATCCGTACTGCATTTAATTACTAGTTATTTAATTACGAACTGCGAAGTTCAAATTAATCATTTCCCACACAGAATACCGACTCAACAATCAATTCCATTCAACATGTCAAAGACGATCATGACGATACATTCCCAAAAAAAAAAAAAAAAAAAAAAGAAAGTTCCGAGTGAGAAAAGGAATATCGTGATTCCATTCAGACTGGTGATTTTATGCAATGGGTCGGCGAGCGCAGATCGCGATCGGGATTCAAGTACATAGTTATTTCAATTTCATTTTTAATTATTTTTTTTGGTGGGATAAATTGCTCGTTTCGATAAATTTACGCACAGCATCGGTAGAGGGTCATCCACTCTCTATATTATATCATGTTTAAAAAAAAAAAGGGCAAAAAAAACAGAGGATCATCGACTCCACCCAGGCATGCATGCGAGCAAGCACCAGTTCCTCTTGACGATGGGTTTACAACGGGTTGCAACTACCGTCTTCACTCGAATAGAGCACCCGGTCATTATAGCTGTACTTTGTGCAACTTCCAGTCCAGATACAGCCACAATGACCGGGCTCTCTATCCGGGCGAAAACGGTAGCATCAAGAACGGGACAAGTTACAAAGGCGGGGCAAGCAACAAAGCCACACACACACACACACACACACACAGATTCGCGTTGAAAAGCCGAGCGAGATTGACAGCAACAGGGAAAGAAGAATGATGAAAAAAAAAAAAAAAAAAAAGAGGATGACATTAGAATAGACGGACGAGCCAATGAAAAACTAGACCCAGAAGAGAGAGAAAAGGAGATCCACGGAGTAAGGCAATCGGGGGGAGAGAGAGAGCTGTCTCTTATACACATCTAGATGTGTATAAGAGACAGGTGTGTGTGTGTGCGTGTGTGTGTGTTTTAGAATTTCCCCACAACAGCCCCAATTCCACCCAGGTGAATAGATTCAGAATCAAAGAAGTCTTTATCCTATTGCAGACAACGAGAGCATTTGAGATGTCCAACATATTAAACCAATTTTATAATGAGACAGTTTTTTGGTTGTCCTTGGGGTACCCCTTTCATTGTTCTTGCAGCTCCCCTTTTACTGCGCCTCTTACGCACAAGGCTGCCCACGTTGATTGTGGTTGAGCGGCAGCTGCCCACATCCCCGTGTGCCTCCACGGCTGTGTGTGTGTTAGATTTTCTCACAACAGCCCCAATTCCACCCAGATGAATAGATTCAGAATCAAAGCAGTCGTTGTCCTATTGCAGACAACGAGAGCATTTGAGATGCCCAAGCGTGTGTGTGTGTGTGTGTGTGTGTGTGTGTGTGTGTGTGTGTGTGTGTGTGTGTGTGTGTGTGTTGTCATGTTCGCTGTACACAATCACACATGCATTCATTTTCCTTTTCTATGCCGCCCTTCTCTTCCCCATTCTCTCCTCCGTCCTTTTTCCCTTTTTCTGTTTTTCCTCCTTTCCCTTTTCTTCTCTATTTTCCCTCTTTTTCCCCCTTTACTTTTTCCCCGTCTCTTTTCGGCCTCCTCCCCCCACCCACATTTCCCCTCTTTCCTTTTCCATTTTCCCTCTTCACTCATCCCGTTCTGGCCCTCCATACCTCCTCTGTTGCCCTTCGCAGCTGCCTATGTCAACCGTTTTTAAAACTTTTTTCCTTCTCATTTTCCCATTTTCCCTTTCCCGAAAAGTTCTCCTCTATATTTCCTCTTCCTCCCCCCTTCTCTTTTCTGCCTCCTCCCCTCACCCACATTTCCCCTCCTTCCTTCTCCCTTTTCTCCTTTCGTTCATTCCTCTCTGGCCCTCCATACCCCCTCCATTGCTCCTGGGAATTTCCATTTGGTACACTTTCTCCTTCCCCCCCCCCTCTGCTCCTTGTCCCCTTCTCCTTTCAATGTTTTGCCCCCATCTCCAGCTACCATGTTTACCTCTTCACCTACTTTGAAGTTCTTTCCCTTCGGATGTTCCCATTTGCCCTGCTCACCTTTCCCCTGCTCGCCTACCATCCCTCCTTTTCTTTCGCCTTCCCTCTCCTCCCTCCTCGTAACGTATCAACGTCATTGGTTTATCATAGAGACAATTTCGGGCAAAAGAAATCCCCTCGGTCGAACAAATAAAAGATTGAACCGGCGCCTCTGGAGATGGGGGCGGTGTGTGGAACTGACCGCTTCGTGCTTGCAACTCCTTTTGATCCCACTCAATCGAACAAATAAGATTGAAGTTCTCTCTCTCTCTCTCTCTCTCTCTCTCTCTCTCTCTCTCTCTCTCTCTCTCTCTCTCTCTCTCTCTCTCTCTCTCTCTCTCTGTGTCTNCCCCCCCCCCCCCCGCCCAAAAAAAAAAAAAGGATAAAATGACTCATCATCGTTGTGGAAGGGTTGGGTTACCTGAACGTACTCCGACTTGGTAGGTGTGTGGTCCTTGAGGAACGACCTTTCCCGCGCTGCTTCTAGAATTTCCTTAATTCGACTGCTGTCCTTAGAAGCCTCCATCGTCGATTCCATGGCCAACGTAATCCGATTATGATCGATGATCTCTTCCACGGGCTTATACGTATGACCCTGCTCCTTCTCCACGCTCCACATCAATCCACGTGTCTGCATCATCGTCGCCGCTGACATGCATTTCGCTGGCAGGCCTAAGGACAAGCTTCCACGTGGCAATCTCCCAACTGCACGACCCGCCGTGCGTACTAGGGCCGATCCCCAACCCATCTCTCTCTCTCTCTCTCTCTCTCTCTCTCTCTCTCTCTCTCTCTCTCTCTCTCTCCCGCTCGGTCGCTCGGGTTGTCGTCGCAATCTCTCGACGGCCAAGAGATTCAGTCGAACAATTAGCGCGCTGATGAATTATTTAGCAATCAACTAATTAGTAATTAACTTCCAATAGATCTTATTAATCAAATTGTAAATACCTCGGAAAATATCATCAATTCCTAAATATACCTCAATATATTGTCACAATTATATATTTATGTATTTATATATCGTCGTATTTATATATCGTCAAATAGAACTGCCCGGTAAACCGTAGGCAGAGAGGGAGAAGAGGACAACAAACGAGGGGCTGTGACAATATATACTCATGGAGAACTGCCCGGTGAATCGCAGCCAGACAGGGAGATTCAAAAAAAAAAAAAAAAAAAAAAAACCGAAGAAGAAAGGGACACACAAGGACAAGAAACGGGGAGCTCTTCCGACAAAAAAAAAAAAAAAAAAAAAGGAGTAATGTGACAGACTTCAGTCAAAGTTTCATCGACTCGTCAGAAGGCCGAACCCTATAGTAAGCTCAATTGGGGCAAACACATCAAGTTGACGCGATTTAATCTGGCCGTAATCGCGGTCCAATACGCTTACTAGGGAGAGTGAGCGGGAGCACAGGGCAACGCTTTCTGAAAAAACGTTTTTCCTATTCTCCAGTAGAAAAACGCTTCCTATAGTAAGCTGACTTGGGGCAAACAGATCAAGTTGACGCGGCTTAATCTGGCCGTAATTGCGGTTCAATACGCTTAGGGAGAGTGGGCGGGAGCACAGGGCAACGCTTTCTGAAAAAACGTTTTTCCTATTCTCCCGTAGCAAACGCAGCCGCGCATACGCCAGAGCTGACAGGGCCGAGTTATTTTGAGCCTCAGCAGTGGCAGCACTCTGAGCGCATACTCGGACTGTGTCGTTTCGCAACGAATGTGGCCACAATCGAGACCAAGTGCACGCAGGAAAACCCAACCATGACGTTGATTCAAAGGACGCGTCAAGCTCGGAGGTCGTCCGGCTGTCAGAAATTGATCGCCGCGATGATGATCGTTGGTCTGGTTCGCTGACGTGGAATCGGATGACGTCAATGGATCACGTGGATTGATGCAGGACGTGTGCATCAATCCACACAAGTCACACGATCGATCCTTGGTCGATCCAGGCCGTCGATAACGTGCATCAATCGACAAGTCACACGATCGATCCACGATCGACCACGTGGATCGATGACGTGCATCAATCCACAAGGCACACGATCGATTCACGATCGCTCCACGTCGATGACGTCGATCGATGCCCTGCATTCGTCGACAAGTCACGCGATCGATCCACGATCGATCCAAGTCGATGACGTCGATCGATCACGTAGACCGATGACGTGGATCGATGACGTGCATCGAGCGACCAATCAGATCAGACACACGATCCCCTGTCGAACAGAGGTTGCTGTCACCTTAGCCAAGCAAACAGAACTCAGGAATCAGACCTGAAAGACGATCGACTGTCAAACAGACATGCTGAAGCAGCCATAGCCGAGGAACCGAAGGTCCCGCACGCAGAAGAAGAAGAAGAAGAAGAAGACGAAGAAGAAGAAGAAGAAAAAACAAAGACAACAAAGGTCAGAGAGGATGCGTGTGGTGAATTCCACCGACTACCAGGTAGTAGTCAGCGAGAGTTGAAAGAGACTCAGACCGTGCCGGTCCCCACTAAACCCACACGAAAAGATCGCTGAAGATCCAGCGGCTTTTCCAAAAAAAAAAAACTAGCGGCCTAGCTGAGGGCACGCTGACACTGTTGTAGCAAATCCGCATAATAAAACAAAAAAAAAGTTAAGGCCTGATCTTGGGAAATAGTGGTGGCGCCGGAGGGGCAAGTCCCACTACCGTCTTCCCCCGAACATAACGCACCCTGAAAAGGAAAGTATACAAGGCATGTTTCCGGCCAGATACAGTCAGAATGAGGGTGCGTTGTGTTCGGGGGACGACGGTAGCGTCGGTCCTGTTCCGACCACCGTATTGTGCGCGACAAACAGCTGCGACCACCGTAGTGTGCGCGACACACAGCGGCAGACTGTCGTGGGAGGTGGAAAATAATAGAAAAGAATAACAAATTTTAAAAACAAAAAGACCAAAAAAAAACCCTAGTATCCAGCGGCCTAGCTCAGTTGGTAAGGCACGCAAGCGGCATTCAGGAGGTCTTGGGTTCAGTCCCCAATGGCCTCATGTACCTTCCTGGGCATGCTTGGCGCCCGCCACCTAGAGATAGCCCATTGGTCCCCCCAATGGGCAGTCTCTGCTGATGTTCATAGGGGGAGGGGTACTCAGGGGGGCACAGCGACTGGCCACTCAGATGATGCTCCGTCCCTCTGCTACCGGCTGTCCCCTGGCCGTGCCCCCCAGTGGGGGATCCCTGAAGGCTATCAGGCCACCCTGGGCTGAAAAGGCCACCATTGTGAGATCAGACACAAGATTGAATTTACCTGGGCTGGTTAGTCCGATGATAATACTTCAAGGCCATCGCCCTAGTAGCCATTTCGTTTTGCACTTTGCTCCACCACTTTGGACATGCACAAAAGACAAAAATAATGGCGGTATGTATAAAAAGTTAGGGTGTTTTTTTTCTTTTCCCTTAATAATGGCGGCGAATCTTTCCACATTCTAGCGCGCTACATTTAGGGCCTCGCCACACCACTCCCCACTTGGGGCCTCGTCGCACTACTCGCCATCCACCAACATTTTTACCGCATGTGGACATTATTTTGTCCAGATGCATTCGTGGATGGCGAGTAGTGCAACCAGGGCCTTGGGAAAATTTTTGGGAGTGCTCCGAGAAGTGAAAACCCGCTGGGGGGGGGCGCGCGAAATGTGTGCTAACGGAGCGGCGACAGCGGTGCCCCGTCGTCGGTGGCGGCTGCGTAGGTCGCAACGTCGGGGTATGTGGACGCTGATCTCCTTTTACGAGGCGCCTACCCTGTCAGGCACCATAGCTGTGTGAGAGCTATGGTGACAGTGCCCTGGTGTAGCCTAGCCCTTGAGTGGGTAGGGAGTGCCTCGCACTCTTATGCCATGGCATCCTGGCAGCTCCGCATTTGACCTCCATACCAACCATTATACCTAAAAACGAGATCTCAATACCAGAGGATCCGTCCCCCCCTCAAGCCTTCTGCTGGAAAGAGGGGGTTCCTTTCTCACCATCCAAAGGCCGTACGTTGTACTTCACGATACGCCATCCCGACTGCCTTGGTTACCTTGAAAAGCATGGAAGACGGAGCGGCGCACCTGGACGCAGTGGGAGAGCGTGCGGCTGCAGTGGCAGCGCTCCGGCATGTCCAAGGACTACAACAAGGCTCGTTTGACCTACCTACGTCACAAGGCAGTCTGATGTTCGTCAACTTCATGTCCTGTTTCTCCTGTGCCTCGGTACTAGCAGGAGTGGCGCTGTGAGGTATACAAATATGTTCTAACTTAGTAATTTGGTAAGTTTTCTTCGACATATCTTGTTTGCACATATTAGGTGCAATTTAGGTTAGTTCCGACAATTTAGTAGGGTTACATATCAGGTTGCTTTTAGATTCGACATACCCTCTTGCCTGGCTTGCAGTACTCATTAGGTTGTTGGTTTTGAATACGCTTGGCTTGACAATTGTATTTGTGTGCTGTATCGCACGCAGTTGTCTGTAGTTGGGCTCTCTGTTGGTTTGTTGCTTATCACCACGCTTATGTCATATTCCGCTTTTTGCCCCTTTTCCCCCTTGGTCTTGCTTTAGTAGCTCTGTCGGTCAGTTAGGCAGCGTCTCTTTTGGTTTGTTGATTTGGCTTCGATTATCATCATGCTGATGTCACACTACGCTCTGTTCGGCATTTTTTCACGGGCGTTAAAGTTGCTTTGTCGGAGTGGGGAGCGATTGATTAGTTGGGCGGTTTTTCTGTCTATTTGTTGCTTCGATTATCGTCACGCCCTTAGTGTTTCATTTTTAGAAATATGTATTTTTTTAAGTATCTCAGGATTGACAGAGAGGGACAATTATCTTCTCCGATGTATGGGGTTAATTGGTGATTTTCTGCTTGTTTTAGGTAATTTGTTGTTTGGTAAGTTGGTTTTCATCGTAGTCTTTATAAGAATAGTCAGCACGAAGGAGCAGTGGGAACTCCTACGGTTGGATGATACGAGAAACCAGGTGAAGAGCAAACTAGAGTTGTATCTATTGGGTGCGTGGTGGGAAACCCGTCTTTTACAGTGTTTTGGATAGTGTTGATGAGAGGGTATCCCTACAACTTATTCGTCTATTCGTTTATCGACAGCGGCACTACGGGGGCAGTGTGAGTGTCATCGTCAGTGGTGGGAGCATTAGTCGAGTTTAGTCATTATAAGAGCAATTAGCACGAGGGAGCAGTGGGACCACCCATGGTTGGATGAAATGAGAGAGTCTGACCCGGTGAAGAGCAAACTAGAGTTGTATCCATTGGGTCCATGGTGGAAAACCTGTCTAGGCAACAAAGGTTCTTTACAGTGTGATTGGATAGTGATGAGGGGAGGGTAACCCTACCGCTTTTCTTCTTGCCCAGCTCCTGGTCTTTCGGCTCATAGGTAGTCTTAGTTCTTAACGACTTAGCCGTCTACTTGAATCCTGGTGGAAAGTAGTAGTAGGGTACTTGGACTGAATTTAAAAATTGATCTGTATCGAAGAATTTAGCATGCCTTTGGAAATAATTTTAGGGTTGAATTGTAAAATTTTTGTGAATTGCCTAGTAACAGGGGATTCGTGAAAACCTCACAATCAGAGAAAACCTAACATTTCTTATAGAATGAAAAAGTAAAAGAACTGTTATTTTTTACACAAAAAGAGAGCATTTTTAATAGTTTTGCGATAAAGAAGGCAAAAAATCAGGTGAAAAGTCTAGCGTTCCTCAAAATGTGCAAGAAAACTCTTCCTTGCAAAATGCTTCTATATGACTATAAGTCATTCTCAGTGGATTGGCAAAAAAACAGAGTTCAAACAGGGTAATTTTTAAGGATGATAAGGCAAACTTGAAAGATGTAAAAAAAACGTGTTTTGGTGAATACTCATTTATAGGACTATAAGTCATTTTTCGCAGTTAGGTAACTTGAAAAACCAAGCTCTGCACAAAATAATTTATAGGACTATAAAGCACTTTTGAACTTAACAATAAAACCCTTATCCAAAAATATATGTCATTTAAAATAAAAATAAAAACAACTTTTGCCTCGGAGACACCTTGGAATTCTTAGCCAAACACGAGTTTAAAATAAAAATATAGGGAAAATATATATATATATATATATATATATCGTTATATATATATATATATATTCGCCCATGTATGGGAAACCATGTTCAAGCGAACGTATTCACGAACATGAGAATATGTTTGCGCATTCGGAAAACCCCCGAATAAATTCATCGTGCTACACATCTTATAAGACTATAAACACAATTTTTTTGGATAACAAAAAATCAGGATATTTCAGTTCTTGAACCTACGGTGCTTCACCAGGTCGTGATTTTCTATGAAAGAACCCGCTTTTTTCCTCGCCCCCTCCGGTAGTTCTGAAAATGTATTTATTTATTTATTTATTTTGCGGATGTTTCACTTCACGTAGAATTTTGTTCCTGGAGAAGATCTGAAAAACGTACAATCATAATCTTGAATAGATTTCGTGCAAACCTAACAATTTGTTTTGTTAGGTTTTCACGAATCCTATGTTTTGTGCATTTTCAAGAAAAAAAAAAAAAACTCTCGGAAATGCTTTTTATTTTATTATTATTTTTATTATTATTATTATTTTTTAAATGTGGTCCGATGAACTACGGATCAGATACTAAGGGCAGACTCACACTACCGTCTTCCCCCGAACATAACGCACCCTAAAAATGAATGTATACAAGCTATATTTTCGGCCAGATACAACCAAAATAAGGGTGCGTTGTGCTCGGGGAAAGACGGTAGGGTTTTTTTATGCTAAATAGCAAAATCTGCTATGCTGCTAGAGTCACACTAGGGTTTTCCGACCACCAAAATTGCAAACGGGATAGCATTTGTCATCGGCCTGGCGGGCCGCGGGGGATGGTTTTTTTTTTTTTTTTTTTTTTTAAGGAAAATTTTTATTAAAACAGGTCAAATTGAGGCCGAGGAAAACCTCACAATTCAACCCGGAGTTAGGCAAGGACCCCACAACTTTGCGGATGGAAAAGTGGTTTGCCCATGGAAATCGGGCCAACGATTTTGGAAAGCTCGGAAATTTTTTTATGGGGATCCCATCTGGGAGGGCGTTTTGCGGCAAAGTCGACGCACTTTTTTCCTTTATAGGAATGTCGGAGCGTGGTACACCCGAAAAGGAAAGTTTGACAGTGTCTGTGTGGTTTTCGAAGGACCACACCACGAGCCGGGGCGACGCGGTGAGTGGCATTGAGCCACGCGTTGCCCCATCCGCGCGGCAAGCAAAGCAGCGGAACTGCGAAGCTGGCCTGGGAAGAGACATCGGACCCCTATTGGGACCACATGGATATGTGTTCCGACCGTTGGCCTATCTGAACCCACGGCCTGAGGATTTCGGATCGGGTTCTGACCGTTGGCCTGTCACACGCGTTCCTGGGCGCCATCCACCACCTCACATCCGGTGCACACCATCGCTGCTGTATTCACTTGCTGACTGCCCGCGTTCTTTATGACGTCGACACGTGCAGCGAAGGCATGGATCCACAAATGAACGAATGGGATGACTCGACGTTCCTCCTCGTTTTCATCCTCTTGCAGTGGATGAACCACAGGAACGTCGTGGCGATGACCGTCATCCAAGCGGTGGCTGCGGTGCCGACGTGCGTGCCAGGCATGTCCAACGCTCTTTTGCTGCTCGCCGGTGCGTTGATGCATGTGATTTCTTTGACATCCATGGTCGCTACCATGGTTGGTCGGCGTATGGATGGCAGACGACAGATTTGGGTTCAGGAACACAGTGGAGGTGTGTGGGAGGATCTCTAAAGGACTGGCGGTCGGCACGAGAAGGTGTTCCAGCGTTTCTGTAGACTCCCCCGCCCGTTGTACGAGGAGGTACTGACTCACATCGCTCCTCATATCCAAAGGCAGGAGACAAACTGGAGACAGCCCGTACCGGCAGCCCAGAAGTTTGCTTGCGCACTCATCCGCTGGGCGACTGGAGGGTTCTACAGGCAATCGGCGCATTCCCTAGGCCTGGGACTTGCGAGCGCCCTGCGCAGCAACGAGGATGTTGCTGGTGCCCTTATCAAGGAGTACGGCCATCTACTTCAATTCCCAACTGATCGAAATTTTTAAGAAACACTTGATGCTTTCGAACGGAAAGAATTTCCCGGTTGCGTCAGGGCAATTGATTGCACCCACGTGTACATCGAGAAGCCTAGGAATGAGAGGGGGGAGTGCTATTATGATCGAACAGGTCAGTTTTCCGTCGTCGCGCAAGTGGTGTGCGATCACGAGTGCCGTATTGTGAGTGCGTTTGTGGGCAGTCCCGGACCCGTTCACGATAGTCGTGTCCTCCGAGTCTCCCCTCTTTACTGACAGGCACAACGAGGCACAGGGGTGTTCGCAACGGGGAGTGAGGTCCTTCGTGATAGACGGAGGGTGGGAAGGTATCTCCTAGGTGACGCCAGTTATCCGCAGCTGCTATGGATTATGACACCCGTTGGAGGGAGCATCAAGACACCGGCTGAGCGAGTGTACGACGACTGCCACACGTCAACAAGGTCATGCATCGAGCGCACGTTTAGGAGGTTGAAAAAGATGTGGAGGAACTTCATGAGGAGACAGATCGCGAACATGAAAACTCTTTGCAAAGAGTTCATGACCATCTGCATCCTCCACAACATCATGGTCGATTCCAAAGTGGAGATTGATCCGGAACTGTTGTCCGATGACAGCAGCAACGATGAATGTGACGGGGGGAGCAGGGCCCGCCGTAGACGGTGTGTGACACCTAGACGGCCTTCCAGTCCTCCGCCACCACCAGAGGACGATGCAGCGCGCGCATGGCCTAGGGAAAGGAGTTGAGAGACAGCCTCATCGGTCATATCGCGCATCATACGCGTCTACATGGAGCTCCGTGGCCGAGCCCGTGGGAACTATGATCATATCGTGTGTTTTTTTCCAGTCGTAGCACAAACGAGGGATGAGGCGTGGTTCTATTTATTTTGAAATGTTCAACGGGATTTTCTCTCTTTCTCTCTCTCTCTCTCTCTCTCTCTCTCTCTACCTACCTACCTACCTATCTATCTATCTATCTATCTATCTATCTATCTATTTCTCTCTCTCTCTCTCTCTCTCTCTCTCTCTCTCTCTCTCT